GTTAAAAATAATTAATTGGTTTTTTTTTTGGGATTATTTTATTAATTATGTAGTTAGGGCCATGGCCCATTATTTCGGGACGTAGTAGAGCCTCTCTTCAAGGGCAATTAATTAATTTATTAATCACACTTAAACATGCTTAGAACAATAATCTACCCATAGAATCCATGTGTTATGTTTAAAGATCTTGTATTAGAACCGGACAAACTATTACTAGAGCTAAATCTTTGTTTCAGTCTCAATATTCTCGTCCAATGAGACGTGACTTTAATTCCGATTTGAAAAGTATAAATGTGATTTTTTCTTTAACCATTGATTGAAATGTGAATAAATTAAAGAGAATCTTGAGGAACATGGAGACGGATAGACCCAATTGATCTATCGAATAAACACCAGAAAAATCGTGAACACGCAGTCCTACAACATTGTGGCGAAAAAATCGGAATTTCAATTTTTCTGATAAACCATTCTTTGGTATAAAGCAGATGATGATGCCTCAATGAAGAATCTTGAGGAAGGGAATATTCATTTAGTAGAGGAAGAAACTTTACCTTTTCTTCTTCTTCTTCATTAGCCTTATCAATCAAATCTTGCCTAGTCTTTGAGGAGGCCACACGACACGAGTGACCCGTCCTCGAATTAAACCCAAAGGTATCTGCCAAGCAAGTGTATCCAGATCAGTCATATGATATCAATCAGCTACGTTCAAAATCTATGAAAATCTGGAAGCAGAGAACTTACAGGGCCAAATGTTCTCGAGTCTAAGCTGGAAGCTTTGTTATCTCCTTCAACCCAACAATGACCTTCTGGGATTCTGATCACATCCCGAGAACTACTCATCCATTCTCCAGGCATCCCAACTATCCTCTTTATGTATCTATCCCCGAATTGAGTCGGAGAGCTGCCACATATATGCCGTTACCAATGTCAGGACCTCAATGATGTATATCAAAATATGTAACTTGGAACACATACAACACAATGTCAAAGGAACATTACAAAACGGACTTGCAACCTGAAAGAGCCAGACAAGCTGGGCTTCGGAAGCAAATGACAAGAACTGAATCCAAAGAGTTTGGTTTCATGGCAACATATTTAGACTACAAATAGAAGAAAAATATCATTTGCAAGGTTCTAGTGTATTGGTTTAAATAACATAGTGAAAGCTGTAAGCATACAAGAGACCAAAATGTAGTCATTATCTGTAGTTATTTTCTTGTCAATGGATGATTCAAAAATGGCTTGGCATTAGAGGTAACATACCTGAACACTACGACATCACCACGCGCAAACTTGTAATCCTTGAGGCAAAATTTTTCCACCATTACATAATCATCTGCATCAACAATTGAACAACCAATAAGAATGAAGATTGGACCAAAAGAAGCTAGAGTCTACTTTCAAGCATGTTTTTCCAACAAAAGGACACTTACCTAAATAAGAATTTCGATGGGGATTGAATGTCGGAGACATGGAATCTCCTCTCACCGGAACAAAGCTACACAATCTATCTGAAATGGTAAGCGCTATAATACCTCCAGCGAATGATTTCTTCACCACTTCCCATATAAACTTATGGATACTCATGTCAAAGATGGCCTATCTAATATGTGATTATCAGCAACAGAACCATCTGCAACAAAAACCACAAGGTTCCAAAGCGTTGATGATAAATCTTTTAAATTACGTTTTCTAATACAAAATGACATAATCCATCAATTGCTTCTTACAGTAACCTTACATTTTTCTTAATCCAAACAAACCAGTAAACTTTTGTATCAAACTGAAAACGATTTCTGAACAAACACGACGGTCTAAAAAACATAGCATTGTAAACCAATTCATGAACCGATCTTGTGAACCTAATCTCAAACTATATTAATCTACGTGAACTGAAACCTAATCGATTTATGGAACTGAAAGGACTAAATTAAATCTAATCTGAGGCCTGAGTCTAATCGGACCGGATAATGCAAGAGTCCGAGACTCTGAAGTTTAAGCTTAAAAAGCAAAAAAGAAGTCACTGAACCTATCCAGGAAAAAGAAATCGACGAAACGAATAATGAACAACCAAACTTTCTAACGTGATGGTAAAAAACCTGGAAATTTGATTTTGCGGAGAAGGTGAGAGAAGAACCCAGAGCTCGCGACAATGTGAAGAAGAATCAGGGTTTTTCTCTTTTGCTGAGCTATTGACACTCTGTCTTGTGTAGAGGGTTTAAACTGGGGACCATTAGTTAACCGGTCCAATCGGGCAAGTTTTGGATCGCCGGTTTTAAATGGTTTATTCCGGTTCTTAGGAACTCAACCTTCTCCAATCCAATCCAATCCAATCTGTTGTATTGGATCTAGAAATCATTTTTGGACAAATTCTTCTCGCAACCCAACATTACGAAAATCTGAATATTTGTACAAAAGAAAATGAAAACTTTAATCTCTATATCGTCCCAAAACAAAACATTTGCACATTTTCGATAACACGGTCCTCTAGCAATACTTATATATTTATGTTTAGTGATTATAAAGATAATCTAGTTATCTAGAAAAGAGAGAGGAGTAGAAGATGCGATAGTGTCAGTCTCCAACAAAAGATTGTTTCCCGGTGTTGTCAGAGAAGTAGTATCAAGGGGAAGACATGACCTCACTTTTTTAGGAACATGTTCCTGAACTCTTCATTTGATTTTGGCGTCTCTTCTGCGTTGGGTTTGGGTGTTGTGAACCCAAGCGGTTTAACATTTCTTGGGACAGCGAATGTGTTCTTACCCCTCACCTCGACTTCATCTCCTCGTCTTTCACCCATAGTTTCTCCACCATGAGGTGCTTTTGCCTTCTCAGAAATCTGGGACTTGTCCTTTGAATTCCAGGAACCTTCTATGGAAGCAATCATACCGGGTTAAAACCTATACATGGCAACATTATTAGGAAAACCAGAAAGAGAGATAGATTCTTACCACTTCCACGCCATGTGAAATCCTTTTTACCCTTCTTTGGATTTGACCGTGCTATACTGATCTTCTTACCAAGAAACATCTTTCTGTTCTTTGCTATAGCTGCTGCAAGGTGTTCATCATCCGAAAAATCAACATACGCCAGTCCCTGTGAGACACAAGAGCATGTTAAGTCACCATATTGGCATAATTCACTCAAACAGAAACTAGCAGGAGCTAGTCATTGGCAGGCATTGAATTACAATCTACGGCGAGTAATTCCTGCCTATCAATTCAGATGAAAGGATCTACTTGCTCATTATCTATCACAAAACTCCCTCTCCTAAAACCAACAAAGAGACGGTATACTAGGACAGGAGTTATCTGATGGCTGAAATTTCAAATCCCAACTGGATTTCATCTAAACATGATCATAAAGGAGCTGAGAAATTTCCAGATTCATTAACAGTAATATCAGATAATGAATTCACAAGCATGAAG